GGCGGCGAGGGATCCGGAGGGAAAATCCCCGTCGGGAGCGGCTCCGTCGGCGCCGCTTCCCGCGGGAGGACGCCGGGAAGGCTCTTCCGCAGGGTCCTCGGGAAGGCCGGAAAAGGCGCGAGAGAAGAGCAATTGGGGCGGCCCAGCGGCGTTTATCCGCGCGGCGTGACGCCGTCCGGGGAGCGGACGTTACCTTGATCGAACTGGCGCTGCAGGCTCTCCATCTCCGACTTGTTGCCGCTCACCCGGTAGATGCCCTCCGTGCTCAAGCCTAAAGGGCGAGAGGAAAAAAACAGAGCGGAAAAGTCAGGGCGAGGAGGGAAAAGCGGAAAACAAGGCGTCGCGCGGCCGAACCATCCCGCCGCGCGGGGGGAAAACCCTCCGGCAGCGCCGGCTCCCTCCCGCCCGGGTATTCCCGTTTCCCGCGTTTTAATAAACCGCGATCAGCCGTTTTGCGATTTTGAAGGAAACTAAGAGCGTTTCGAGGCGTCGTGGCGATTTCCGGCGATCCGCTTGCCCGTTTAGTTGACCAAAGCCCGTTTTCGTCCCCGGCCTTTCGCCGTCCGTCAAAACGCCACGGTTTTCTCCGACGGGTCCCATGTTCCCAGGCACCTTCCCAGCTCCGCTCCTGGCGTTTTTGGCCCTTTCCGTGCTTTTGAGGCTGAGTTTAACGTTTTTTGCCCAGCTCAGGGGATACCCGTAGCAGCACGTGGTTTAAAAAACCGCAGTTTTCCCTTTTTTGGCTTTAAGTCACTCAGATTTCCACGGCGTTTGTGTCGGCTCCCCTCGCCGTAGCCAGGATTTCGGCTTGGTCCGCTCTTAAAAAAAGCTTCCCGGTTATCGCCGAGGCCCCCGAGCGGTCAGAGATGGTTAAAACGAGCAGGGAAAAAGCGAGGTGAGGAACGACGCCGAAATAACGCTTGGAACCGCGCCGGGGAAACGGCGCGTCCGACCTCGGAGCGGGGACGCCCGGCCGGGGAGAGGCCGCGGAGCGGAGCAGGGGCTCAGGTCTAAAAACCACGTTTCTCCTTCCCTTCCCCTTCTTTCCCTCCTTCCCTTCCCCTCTTCTCCTTCCCCTCCTCCTTCCCCTTCTTCCCCCCCTTCTCTTCCCCTTCCATCCCCTCTTCTCCTCCTCCTTCCTTCCCTCCTTCTCTTCTCCTTCCCCCTTCCCTTCCTTCTCCATCCTTCCTCTCTTCTCCTTCTCTTCTCCATCCTTCCCCTCTTCTCCCTCCTTCCCCCTTCCCCTTCCTTCTCTTCTCCTTCCCCTTCTCTTCTCCTTCCCCTTCTTTCTCTTCTCCTTCCCCTCTTCTGCTCCTTCCTTCCCTCCTTCTCTTCTCCTTCCCCCTTTCCCTTCCTTCTCCATCCTTCCCCTCTTCTCCTCTTCTCCATCCTCCCCCTTCTCCCTCTCCAGCCTGCCTTCCCTCCTTCTCCAGCCTTCCCTCTTCTCCTTCCCCCTTCACCTTCCTTCCCTCCTTCACTTCTCCTTCTCACTTCCCTGACTCCATCCTTCCCCTCCTTCACTTCTCCTTCGCCCTTCCCCGTCTCCATCCTTCCCTTTTCTCCTGCCCCTTCCTCTTCCTTCTCCATCCTTCCTTCCCTCTTCCTCCTCTCCTTCTCCATCCTTCCTTCCCTCCCCTTCTCCTTCTCCATCCTTCCTTCCCTCCCCTTCTCCTTCTCCATCCTTCCTTCCCTCCCCTTCTCCTTCTCCATCCTTCCTTCCCTCCCCTTCTCCTTCTCCATCCTTCCTTCCCTCCCCTTCTCCTTCTCCATCCTTCCTTCCCTCCCCTTCTCCTTCTCCATCCTTCCTTCCCTCCCCTTCTCCTTCTCCATCCTTCCTTCCCTCCCCTTCTCCTTCTCCATCCTTCCTTCCCTCCCCTTCTCCTTCTCCATCCTTCCTTCCCTCCCCTTCTCCTTCTCCATCCTTCCTTCCCTCCCCTTCTCCTTCTCCATCCTTCCTTCCCTCCCCTTCTCCTTCTCCATCCTTCCTTCCCTCCCCTTCTCCTTCTCCATCCTTCCTTCCCTCCCCTTCTCCTTCTCCATCCTTCCTTCCCTCCCCTTCTCCTTCTCCATCCTTCCTTCCCTCCCCTTCTCCTTCTCCATCCTTCCTTCCCTCCCCTTCTCCTTCTCCATCCTTCCTTCCCTCCCCTTCTCCTTCTCCATCCTTCCTTCCCTCCCCTTCTCCTTCTCCATCCTTCCTTCCCTCCCCTTCTCCTTCTCCATCCTTCCTTCCCTCCCCTTCTCCTTCTCCATCCTTCCTTCCCTCCCCTTCTCCTTCTCCATCCTTCCTTCCCTCCCCTTCTCCTTCTCCATCCTTCCTTCCCTCCCCTTCTCCTTCTCCATCCTTCCTTCCCTCCCCTTCTCCTTCTCCATCCTTCCTTCCCTCCCCTTCTCCTTCTCCATCCTTCCTTCCCTCCCCTTCTCCTTCTCCATCCTTCCTTCCCTCCCCTTCTCCTTCTCCATCCTTCCTTCCCTCCCCTTCTCCTTCTCCATCCTTCCTTCCCTCCCCTTCTCCTTCTCCATCCTTCCTTCCCTCCCCTTCTCCTTCTCCATCCTTCCTTCCCTCCCCTTCTCCTTCTCCATCCTTCCTTCCCTCCCCTTCTCCTTCTCCATCCTTCCTTCCCTCCCCTTCTCCTTCTCCATCCTTCTTTCCCTCCTCTTCCCCTTCTCCATCCTTCCTTCCCCTTCCTTCTCCACCCTTCCCTCCTTCTCTTCTTCCTCCTTCTCTTCTCCTCCCCCCTTCCCCCTTCCCCTTCCCTCCCTCCTCCTCCTCCTCTCCTTCCCTCCCTCCTCTTCGCATCCCCTCCACCATTACCACTCTCACGTTCTCTCCCCCTTCGGGCTCCCGACGCGAGGGCAGCGTTAAGATAGCAGCCGGGGCGGCAGGTCCTCTCTTTCGCAATGCTTCCTTTACCCGCCGAATATTTTTGAATCCGGTCCGAAACGCCGGGATCAGCCCCCGAATCGCTCCGAACCGGCTGCTTTTTGCGGAAAGCTTCGGAGAGGCTGGGGAAGGGGTCGGGGAGCGAAGCCTCGCCGGCGCCGCGGAGCAGCGAACCGAACCAAAGCGAGAGCTTGTCCAAAGGAAAACGCAAATTGTTGGGCCCGAGGGACAGCGGAGGTTTCATGTAACCGGAGCTAAGCGCGCAGACGGCCCGCGGAGGACTTAGCGCCTGGGTTTTGTTAGACCCAGCCCTCGAATGATGAAGAGCAAGGATGTTTGATGTTTTTCCACCCAAAAGCGAGGAGGTCACCGCTGTCCGGCTCTGGATTTCACCGTTGCCCTTACCGGCGGACCAAGGCGGCCTGTCTGCACTTACCCATCTTTAACTGTTACCGATTACGCTCGGATTAAAAGGGAAAAAGCCCGTCAGCCCCGGCCTCGAGCCCGTAACGTGTTGGTTTAAACCCGATTTTGCTGCCAAGGCATCAGCGGTTTCATCCTCGCCAACCGGGTTTAATTCTGCGCCCTGCACGTTACACCCCAACGTTGTGCGAACGCGTTTGCCAGGTAATAAACAGTCGGGGAACCGTTGTATTTTGCTAGGAAATAGCCTCCCAAAAAAAGAAACTCCTCCCCAAGACACCGCACCATCCGTG